TACACTGAGATACATCTCGTTGGATTGTGGTAGTCAGGCGTGCATGCACAACTTGTAGGTCACTTGTTCAAAGCCGATAACGATATAGATATGATCGTTTCAGCTTTAAGCATAGTTTGTACAGTTTTTTATTCAAAAACTAATTTCATATAGTGAAATCAGATAAAGGTTCATCTCATGTTAATTGTCTGATACTGACTCAGCTCGCATCCATAAGTCTTAACTACCCTCATTTCAAATTGTTGATTAGATGAATTGCTGAGCAGTAAATACGCCTTATTTGACTGTAGTTAACAACAGTTCTTATTGTTTATCAGTGCAGTCTTGGGGTCCTTTGGAAACGTATTGTTCACCTGATATCAAATTACTTAACCCGGTTACCAGGAGAGAAGTTAAGACTCATGATGCTTTCATCGGCGCCGATCAACTGAGATGCCATTCAGCAAACGGTACTTCCTAAGTAAAAGGGAGAGAAGATTGTGTCCTTTGAGTTAGATCTCTTATCAACGATGATTTTTTGTATGTGCAGTTATTTAAACATGGTCTTAGAACGACTGGCCGTACAGCAAATTTCACACCATACTGACCAATGACTTCAATAGTCCCAGACAAGAACAACGTAATAGCAACTGTCCACTGAAATAACGCATCACTAACACGTACCCAATAGTCAAAACCGTTCATGAGTAGTAGGCATAGATTCTACGCGATTTTATGATCATCTGAATCAACTATGTAAATAAGGAAGATAGATAAAACTATTCCTAGCTTCTCCTCTGGTATATCCACTAAACAATGACGTCAAATTTTCAAATCTGTTTTTAAGATGCAATTTCATCGAATTTAAAATAGGCGGGTAAGTTTAAATGTGAAACTACCTGAAACAAGCAAGTTAAGTTGAAGTCTGTATGCCAGAGCAAAAGGTAACACAGTGAAGAATGATTTGAAAGACTGTGAAATCGAATTATGCATAATAATCCAGAATGCTAGCATATCGCATATGTATGCAAAGAAAAGCTTAGGAAACAATTATAACCACGTCATTAAAATCTGAGCATCTTGAGGGGGTCTTGACGATGTGTTTAAAACTAACTAATACTGGGCAGCTTGCAACCACTATAAGTTATTCAGGCACCAGTAACCTCTCTGATGGCAACACCTGGTAACGTGGATTGGGATCTCAGGGAAGACAACAGTTCCGTCGAGGTTGCAGATAGGCCTTGTTGACGAGTGCCAACATACATGAAACCTAAGTCAGATGAGGTTTCTCACCAATCGCCCTTATCCAACGAACCTATATCTCAGTGCATCGCGATGATGAGTCGTCTAGACTGGTGTCCACATTGCAAGATGATCGACAGAAATCTGTCAGCACTTTGTACTAGACTACATGGAGTTGGTTACCCTCCAGTGACTAATCAGTGAGATTGCTGTCACTGGAGCAAGAAAAGAAACTGAGGAATCTCTGATGATGGGTAGTAATTACTGGATTTCTAAGTCGTGTAATGCAACTGGATTGTTCACCTTTTGCTTTATATGACAAGCACATCTTTCAAGTAAGGAACATAAATATCAAAACAGCGGAATATAAATTTTCGTTGGCAGTTTGAACTCTCGATTATAAAGCCTACAAGGAGATGAACAACCTACATTGATTAGGCACTGAAGAGCAACCAGTTTCATGTTGTCTAATCCTATGTGCTGACCGAGTTCTATTGATCATTCTGCAATATGACTACCCCGCCAGGACGCGCACCGTTGCTGTACACTTTGATGGATGTTAGTTGGTTGAAAGCAATTGCTTGGAAGCCATGAACCTAAGTTTCGTATCTAATCCATTCCAACAGGAGGTCAATCGAAGTACGAATACCCCAGTGATAATTCCACTGACTACAACACCGAATGACACAGGTTGGAATCTCACTCTGGATATTAGTTCCATCGAGGTTGTAGGCACGCCCTGCTGATGAGTACCAAGTGCGAAAACTGGGCCCAGTGCTTCTTGACAATTCCCTCCAACTAAATAACATCCATCCAAGTGCACCACGACGGTGCTCCTCTTAGCTTGGAGGTCACACTATACAATGATTGCCAAAACTCGATCAGCACTTAAGACTACAGAAATGAAAGTAATAACTCTCCAATGACAAATCAGGGTTGATTTATATATGACGAATAGAATAATGGATACTTATGGGTATTTGGCAAACTTATCCTCTCTTCTCATGTTCACATTTATCTGAGGAGAGACTATTAACTAATGCTTCATAGTGTGTCAAATCAATTTCTTTTTCCATTATCAAAGTCAATTCATTATCAGTGCTTTCAGTCAAAATATGTCCATTTGTTCATGAATAAAAAGAGGATGAGGTTTATTTGACAGAAAACTCCTCCTTGACTTCTGTATCATGAATAGTAAGTAGATAATGAATGCATGCCAATCACGATTCATGTTGTAATTAGTTTCCGAAATCTAAATGAAATCATCTTTAGACTAAATTGGATTTATGTCAGCCAGCTTATTGAAAAGTTCAAAATGTCATTGAAAATTATAATCCTGTGTAATTAATAAATAATTGCCATCATCTTTATATATGGCTTTAAACAGACTACGATTTAAATGAAAAGACGTAAAATGCAATATGGTGAGTAATAATCATAGTTTTTGGTTGTATGGAGGCAATCTGTAGGAAGCCCTGGACTTAGGTTCCGTACTTTCTGGCACTCGTCAACAAGGCGTACCTGCAACCTCTACAGGACTGAAGTTCCACTCGAAACTCGAACCTACTTTACCCAGTTTGGCAGTCAGAGAGTTTCCCCTGAGCTACTGGAGCCGCGACTGACCTCTTGTGGGACTGGATTAGGCGAATTACGGTAAAATAGTTAAATGCACAAACTACCCTTGGACAAATTTTGTGAAAAATGTTTACTACTTAATACTGGTCAGTTAGTAGTATAACTTTAAACGGGAAATTAACGCTTGCCTGAAAGCTTCCGTAAACAACTCTCAGGCTGAAAATATACCATTGAAGTAAGAGTACAGTTTTCACAGGATGTCACTTTTTCCTGAGTTAGAACTCTAAAATGCCATTAGTTTGGCTCTCGTAATAAGCCTTATTTTTTCGAACAACAAAGGTGGTGAAATACTATGAATTAATGATTAGTATTCCATCACCGTTTCTCCAAATATCAGCAATATGATCATATGCAACTTAAAATCCTGAATCACCGCTCAGTACAAGCTCGAAACGTGTTATCGAATTTTGTGAACAAGACATGGTAAAGAAATAAAATTGTTTAGCTCATTTTAAAGGACACAAGGCAGGAAACCGGGAGGCCGCTGGCTTGGCTCAGATTTTCATTTCACCCTCAAACATCACCCACAACCAATAATATGACTGCGCCAACTCACGGTACTGATAATGAGACAGAGAGGTGAGTCTAAATTTAATACGATAAACAGGTGTCATGAACAACAAAAGAGTAGAGAGAAGTTAGGAATCGCCCGGCATAAGACACTTTAACTGACGTTGAAGTATTCATTGGGTAAATAGTTTCTAATAAACTTCATTTAAGTTCAGTTGTGAATATTCATGAAAAAGCTGTCATTATATGGAATGATAATTGAAAGTAAAACTAAGACCTCGATTCCCTCAAGGTTTTAATCTTTGGCCTTCGGATTACTGGTCTGGCTGTCTATCATGTGAGCTGCTGAGTTCAGCTTCTCTTCAATTACCCAGTGTTGTTCAGCTGGTATTTCTACGTATGATAAAGTATCCTCCATTTCTTATAATTACACTAGCTTCTCAGCAAAATGTAGTCTATTAAACTTTGTTATAAGCAAAAGAGGAGAAATAATGTAGTGGTATCTATTTTTAAATGCTATGCAGATTTTTACTGCTCTAGTTTCTCCAAAGGTGCTTCTCTAGATTCCAACAGGTGTCTGAAGATTGACTCTAGAGACTTTGCATATAGTTGTAGTTGAATGGATTTCACTGGTCAAAGGTTTTTGTGTAGTTACCAAATTGACTGACTCGATAATTTAGTTTTACTTTATTGAATGTTCAGTTGTCTGAGGTGGTGATTAAAACTCATTGAAATTGGTTTCTATGTTTATCAACATTCATTCAAAAAGCTTACCTGCCTAACTGCGTATCACTGGTTGCTACTAAGTAACAGGTCAGTTTACTTAACACAGTCTCACAGTGGATCACTTATGACGCTTAAGGTGAATAGCAATAACTCTTACTGGAGTGTTGTTATTAGTTGCCTAGTTTTCAGTATCCTAAGAATGCTGACAGCTCAGATTCAGTTTTTTCCTAACCTGAACTGTTGATTTTCAAACGTCTCACTGACATCATCAGTGATCCAGATCTTCACAAGAAGGTGAAGTGGTTAGTTGCCCATGGATATTTATAACATGCTAGTCTTCTTGAGTCCAACCTGATTAGATGATTGTTGAGTGTCAAGTCAAGTAGTCGGTTGAATATTTGTCCGTAGATTTACAGGCGAATGTACTACTACGTTGCCGAGTGATTTCTTTAACATTTAAGCAGTAAGCTGAGGTCCCACCATTGTGATTGGTCAGGGTCATGAAGGTCACTTTAATCTGATTGTCTGACTCGTTTATATTAGAATGCGGAAGCTATAGGCTGATTGGTTGATTTTGCTTCAATGTGAGATGTATTCTTTGCAATTGTTGCTTGGTTAATTTTCACCACAGAACTGAGTTCACTTTGTATTGATTGGTTAATTACAGAAGTTAAACTATGTATACGTGAGTTACTTTGAGTTAATTGATTGATGATCTCCTATTTAGTTGCATTAATCGTTAACTTAACTACTGTATACATGTTTCTTAGACAAATTATACATTCATTCATAAATATAAGTTCAGTAAAAGGATGTTTGCACTCTATATATCACTTAAGATATAGGGGACTATAAAGTTACTGTTAAAATAAAAAATGTTTAAGAAGATAGATGAAAACTTTTCTTACCCTTTTTAAGTACTGTCGCAATGATCTTAATCTCTGGCAGTTCCGTTACCGTATTCGATGTATTCGTATGCATATATTCACTAGCTTCTGTGGATCGTGATTCAGGTGACACGATAATCCGTACTACACCTCGTCCTAATTTATGTATATACGGTTCTAGATTTGGTCGATTACATGCTTGAATTACTCTAGGAGTATACTGTTCATTAACAGGTATTTGACCTTTACTCCTTTTCAGAAGGATTGATGGTGTACGTAGAAATGTATTCTGTTCTGAAAGGAAGAATTCATCGTACAATTCAATAATGTTAGCCTTGCACTCCGGATCGATGATTTGAAATTTCAAAAAGCTTAGGTGAATCATTAGGATCTAGAATAGTTTTTGTAAAAGATGAGGAAAAGACAGAAAAACAAAATTAATTTCAGGTTGGTATTCGCTGTAGACTGATATCGGTTTAACGAATCACTGAAAACTTAGAAGCACTGGATTGCTATTTCGTACTAGTATGGGACTTCTGGTTATCACGCACCCACCACTCCACCGGGGATCGAACCCAGGATTAAACTGAGATGAACAAAACCCTCATAAACCTACAAATTGAAAAATAATGTACTGAGATTCAGTGAGTTTAATTTAGTGAACTTTGGTGAACCACATCAAGACCAATTTCATACATCAAGGATGACAAGAACCACAAACTGATAAAAATGGTGACCCTGACCTCATTTTACTTGTTTCTGTGACGTTATTCAATGATGTTACCTGAGTTTATTGTTCTTGCACAGAATGTTTATCCCGCTATGATCTCTAAGGGACACTTTATTATGAGAATGACAGATTAAAGTGCCTATCGCTTCAAACTCCAAAGTGTGTCATCCACTAGCCAACTGGGTCACGAGGTTGAGTAATTTTACCCGGTATAAGAACGGGAAATTACAAGAACCAAACAACAAATGATACGAGTTGCACAAGACGTGGCTCTCGTGCCCCAGTAGCCTGGTGGATAATGCCTAGACGTCTGAAGCGATGGGTACTGGGTTCGGATTTCGGGGGAGAGGGGTTCAAGTACATCCAGTCAACCAGTTCAATATAGGACGAAAAGTAAATCAAGGTGGGTTCCACTGCTAGTCACCAAAATGAATACATCATGAATTTCCGCCAGTATCGAGGCGTCCGCATAGGAGCCAGTCTGCCAACAGAGGTCGAATAATCTGATTCAGTATAACATTGGGAGATTACAAGTATCACACAATAAAGGCCGAATGCTTTCTGGTACCTCGGACTAATTACGGTTCATTATGAAGCCGAAACCGCATTCTTTGACTTATTTGATACGTTAGACCGTTCCTGACATATCATGCAGTTGTCCTGGTAAGCCAAGGTTGAAAGAGCTTTTCAAGATATAACACCACTGTAGACACATATATATTTCTTAAGAGGTAGTTATTCGCATCTGGTCAAGGCTAGTACTCTGAGACCATGTCTAACTTCCTGTTGCAATCCATTGGAACGAAAAACTTCTTAGAGCCTTCAGAGTCTGATACTTGTACTTGGTCTTTAGTGCAAACTAAACTCACACTAGAATTGATGTCTGCTTCTGCACTGAAAATGAGTTGAGTCTGGGTTGTTTGCTTCAATTTTCGCTCAAGAAAACAGAATGTTTCAAAACTGTATCCACCAAACAAGAACTGACGATATCTAATTTGTAAGATACTATTCCTCGTCGAATGGCATCACCTGGAGGGTCATTAAAAATCTGGGAGCAGTGGAAACCTGTTTCGCCCTAGTATGGGACTCCTCAGAAGTATGCTCACATGACTCCGTCAGAGACCGAAATTAGGACCTTCAAGTTTCACTGCGAACACATTAACTACTGAGTTACTCTATATCGTGCAAATTAACAGAAGTAGAAGATGGTTAACCATTGAATTCCGATTCAGTGGTTAGTTGCTTAACGCTTTCACCATGAAAACTTAAAGTCCTAGGTCTAATCCATGGCAGTGGTGAGAAGTGAGAAGTCACATACCAGGACGAAACAGTTGTCCAGTGCTCCTAGGGTTCCAACAGTTCTCCAATTGACGTCAGTTTGTGACAAATACCACTTAGAAATTCTATTGGTTGTACGGAATCTGATGTATATGAAGAGGTCTGTTAATTACCTGCAATGTATTTCATTCTCTGATGAGATCTGAAAATTACTCGATAGCCAACTTGTCAATCTCTCTGTCATTTAGTCAGTTTGAGTTCTAACAATAGTTACGCCTAGAGTGCAGTTGACCAGTCACTTACTTTCAAGGAAAAGCCATCATTTGGTCAAACCACAAGTCGTGATCATTATTTAGTCGACTTTCAATAGCAAAGTATTAATTCGTGCTAGTATGACTATATAAGGTGAGTTGGTCAGGAAACATCTCTCAAAACGAGGAGGACAGTTTTCTGTCGTCTGCATCAATAATATTTGACCATGGCAATAAACACATCTATGTTAGTGATATTTAACTAGTCGTGTCTTGCATAAGATACACCACGCAATGCTCATCCTATTCTACTGGAACCATAAAGAACAAATTTTCACGCTAAAACTCATTTTTAAAATGAAACACGTTTGACAAACACTTCAAAGGCATTCACACTGTTGGATATTACCCAATGATAGAGGTATTATTTTCAAGGAAAACTATTAGTTGAAATCTAGAGTCAACTCTTCTTGTGAATCCATTGTCCGTCCGCTTTCAGCCTGAGAGCAATAATTTGATCCTGTGGTTTTCTTAAATGGCCGTAAATTAAATTATTTACATGCTCGGAAGTTTCAATTTATTATATTTGACCAGTCTGGTCCATAAGCGAAATTGGTGGACGGAAATCTCTCTTGTCCTATACTTATTCTACCAAAAGGACTCTCTGACGTAAAGTTTGGAAGACAAGTGCTTTCTGTACGACGTGATGATTTTGGAGCTGAAGCTCGCTGGTTTAGGGAGATAACTTCCCTCCAATGGGTCACGGTTTCGGACATCGCTTCACCTACCAAGGTTTGGGCCGCCCAGGTAGTATTATCGTTTGCTCTCACACAGTAGTTTTGGCTCAGTGCCTACCGCATGGAAGTGCAAAAGGTTGTTGAGTGCATTATGAGATGATGATTCAAGATGAAATAGAAATATATATCATGATAGGATTTAAACCACAGTCCCCGGACTACCTGGCCAGGCCTTTACCAAGCTTTACTAAGCTAAGCAATCTAGTCATTTACCAGGTTTTAACTTCACTAGATTTCCAGTGGGATTAAGGGGAAAAGGGTGTTACGTGTCATGCATTCACATGAGAGCTGAACTTAAATCCTCGGTGACCGGAGTGAAACTCAAATGTGGTCAGCAGCCAGGGTCTAATGCTCAGTTGATGTACACCCAGTCAGGTATTCAGAGGCGACTAATCCTACTGTCTTTCGGGGTTTTGCTTCACCTTCAGTCATGGCAAAATACCAAAGAAATATATATCTTCATACATCTCAGTTTAGTTCAGTGGCTACCCGAAAATCTTCATCACAAATTTCCTTTCCGAGTGCTCAGTATCTCAGCAGTCCTCTACTGTGAATAAAGCGACCGTTCTTTTATAGACTAGAAATATTTCAGCAGCACTAGATTGGCTGTTTTAACCGCTTGTATGTACAGCTCATAAATCCAAAAATATTCTTCATTCCATTTTGTAAAGTATAGATGACTCAGCAGGCAGGAAGGTGAAATCAAATGTAACCTACAAAATAAAGTCTTTTTTGCAATGAATATTCTGTCATGTAGTCTAAACGGCCAATCGAATCGCAGAGATATATTATTTCATTAAATTATTCATATCATTGGATGTCAATTAACATGATCTCATTGGCGAAAAATTCAATATTGTGTTTATCTAGGTAGGTTAAGTATTCCCTGAAAGTATGGTCAATAGGCATGCGGAGTTGGACAATCCATGAAGAATATAAATTACTGAGTAGCTAGTAATGGGATCTAGGATACCCCCTTCGTCCTATTTGGGACCCACTCGTTAGCTGAATATACTTTGATCCCTAGTGTATAATGTTTTGACGTCTGAAACGATGAGTAATTTGTTAAAGTCTCAGTGGGAACACTATCACTCACTGGGGCCCAGGTACATCCTACTGACGAGTTCTAAACAGGAAGAAAAGTGTGTTTCGGGTTTCACTGACAGCCGCTGAGTACACTATAACATCAATGGAAAACCATTCACTCAACCTTTTAATCAACAAACTATCGAAGATAACATTTCGAAGGACTCCAGCGAATAGCTATTTGTCCACGGTATTAAAAGCTTCCTTTGTCAACTGTTAATCCTGATAATAAGCTTCAGAGATAAAATCACATTGAGAATAATTTTTAATGACAATCGCTTGTTTTACATTACATTTGCTTATTTAATACAGTACACAGTGATACGGCATTATTTGTTTGGTGACATTTTGAGCATAAATTATTACAACTTTCGACAGCTGATTTTTATGGTCCTGTCACTTCTTATTCTTAGTTTTTAATGTCAGCAAAATCTTCTACATCTCTTGTATAGGTGTTGCATCATTCGTATTAGATATGTTGGATGTAGATTCAATGAACAAAGACTCAGCAATCCATTTCTCTATACATCTAACTATATTGGACTTAAGTACAGTGGCTTTATCCCACCCATCCTATTGTGTAGCTGAGTGTTGTTGCATGTATTACAGAAGCCGAGTATTTTTTTTCTAGATTATCAATCCTGGAGTTTATCATTCTACATTTCGCTATATTCCTATGTTCCGCTAATCTAACTGATGCCAATCGGCTGATTTGACCTGTGTACTTGACCACACAGTCATTGCATGGAATTTGGTAGGTTAGATTAGTTTGCTTAATTGGTTCTATCGGATACTTAAGCCGACAAAGCTTGTCTCTGAGTGAATTTGTAGGATTGAATGCCACCGTAATTCCAGCCTTGTTGAGAATCCTACGTGAAGCTTCTGATATGGAAATACAAAAGAGACTGTGAACTCCTTTCTACTCATGTTGTCGCTTATATTCGTATTCGTACTACTGTTATTATTTCATTTCTTTTGTGCTTGCATGGATTTCACTGACCACTAAAAATGAGGGCCTGTAAAAGTCAGGTGTCAAATTTTTTGACTGCACAGATATGATTATGAGCAATAATTTAAACCCGAAACGTGATCAGGTAAACAATACTGCGTCACACTGTGCTATATATCAAGCTAACAGATCGAATGTTGAATTGCATTCTACCGCATTGGTCAAGTTTTACACTTATGCAGTCAATTACTTGTTACTTGAATAGATCATTTTAGCTTCATTCTCCTTACTAGCTAATCACTATAAGATCTATTCTAAAGAGAATCCTGAAACCCAAGGTTGTATACTACCTAAGTAAGGAGATAGATCTGTTCATCGCTGGATTAAAATCCTACAGGTTGACACAAAAATGTGCTCTGTAGGCGAGCCTACATTTTTAATTTGTATATTAGAACATACTGAAGGTGAATTTCTCGAAGAGAAAGCGGGCTAATTCAGTTTGGCAACTCAAAGTCAGTGACACCTGCTTCCTACTGGTTCGTCAGACAATATCACTGTCTGTGGTTAAACCACTGCTAGGCAATCCGAAGGATTAGTGTTGACTTATCTACCACATTAGCTGTTTATATATAGAAAGATTTTTAGTGGAACGAGCATCTATATGTATAAAAGAAAGCAATGTATACTTACCAAATCAGTTTGATTTGTTCGGAAATCAATAATAAATTCAGTTAGTCGGTCGACTGGATGAGATTTCACTCTTATTAATGATTCAGTATAATCATTCCATAGAGTTAATAAGTTGCTTTGTTCAAATATAACTTCATCATCCACGATAATTGAAGTTGTAACAATTGCTGTGTAAAAGACAGAAAGAGGAGACGAAGCAAAATGAAACAATTAGCGGAAGGTGACTAATTAATGGCTGAACAAGTATTTGACTAAAGTGATCTGTTATTGGATTCAGAAGTACGAAGAAAGTCTTGGCACTGATTAGGTCGATGGAAATGAAACGCTTTAGACAAGTGCTTCTCCTTTTTTGAATTTCTTAACCAGTTGTTCTATAGCAGAAGTCTCATCACAAGAGCTGTCATTACTAACTTGTCCAATCTAAAACGTTGTGGCACCTGTTTTCCCTATGAATTCTGTATTCAGGACGAAATCGGTGTTCATTTTCACACTGTTATCAGTAATCTTTTAATTGGCTTCAGCTAATCAGTGGTGATATTTAGTCTTAAAGGATTCCTAAGATTAACGAGTCTCAGTTGGGATGAAACGTATTCCTGTATTCCACTCCTAACCATTATCTATCCGTAGTATCAAAGTGGAAAATACAGGCAATATCGAGGCAAGCGTGCTAGAGCCCATATGCCGATAGAGACCGATCAATTCGGTCCAATCAACCACGGGATAATATCACCAACATCATAGATTCCTAACACTTCTTAAAGGTAATTAGCGTCAGGACACGAAATTTGCGTATCATTGTAAGCCAGTCAGTTTCATCCAATAAATAAGCATATGGATTTAAGTAGAGTACCAAGAAAACTCATCCATTATGGATTTATGAGATTTACAGAGGCCTTCTGATGAAATACCCGTTTGACATTAAAAGCGCTTTGGTGAGGGATGTAGGTTAGTTAATAGAAACAGTAATTAAGTAATATTTCACTTTAGTCTACAAGTTACATATGATAAGGCACATTTGTCGACCGCAATGAATCATCAACTTATGCGTTGTACAGTTCAGGTTGAAATTTTTCATAGTAAATTGGCAGCTCAACTGTTCAGTTGTAGTGTCAAGAGATTTTCCATTGTCGACTTCCCAGCTGATACTACACATCATGAGCTGTGATTCAGAAAGGTCGTGAACCCACAATATAAACCACTGACTGATCCTTCATTTTCATTTGTTGCCAACAATCTGCTTCTGTTCTGAGTTGAATTTATCTAAGTAGGTTGTAGATGACCCTGAAATGGCTAACTAAGCATGTTGGTCAGAGTTTTGGATTGTGAAGAAATGACTGATTTCAGGGAGGTTTTCGTCACAAACTAACATAAGCTAGATGATTACTGATAACCGATAGGCACTGGAAGGGGTCGAACTCTGAAGACTAGGTGAAGTAATTAAGAATTTCTTATTTCAGTAGTGTACTCAAATTAGGCAATTCATATTTCTAGGTGGTTGGATGCAGTCAGCAGAAAGTTACACTTGACCTCGGTTTCGGGCTTGTTGGCACTCGTCAGCAGGGCGTGCCAACAGCCTCGACGGAACTAATATCCCGCCTGGTGTTCGAACCCACACCATTTATTGTCGCAGTCAACAGTAATACCACTGAAGTATTTGGGACACATTTGACGTACTGTAGGACTGTATTTCGTACACTGGTTGGTCACGATAGAGCAACCAAATTCCTGTTGTCTAGTTATTTCGTGACTTACTTAGTGTTATCGGTGAGCACGTTTTCTTGCACCTAATTTGATTGATTCTACAAGTCGAAACTCTCCATTAGCACCTCAGAAAATCTATCTTAATCTGTTTCACTAATGAACAAAGGAAAGTTATGAGTTCGATTGACTCATTCAGTATTCATTAATTTGTAAAGTGGTTTTCACCACCGATTGACATTCACTGTGTACTCACTGATAAGACATCCCACATTAGGTCAAACTAAATGTTCAAAGTTGTCAGAGTCTTTTAGTAGTTCTTCAACTAGTCATGTTCCATGGTGAAAACTATCTCGAAGACTCTTTGTTGAATTATCATAAATCAGTTACTAATCTCATCTGAGAATAATCAATTCTGTTGAACATTAACTAATTGAATACAGATCACTAGCAAATAACAACTTTCATAAGGGGTTTACATATTCCAAAAGAAATTCCACTCTTCCAGCAATACGCCCAGTTGCACTGATTAGTCACTGGAGACCTACCAACCTCATGTTGTATAGTACTGAGACCTGACCGAATTCATTTTGCAATGACGTTATCAAGCTAGGAGGCTCAGCATCACGGTGAATTTTGATGGGTGTTAGTTGGTTGCAGGCAATCGACAGGGATTCCCGCTTGACCTAGTTTTCGTCGTTGTTAGCATTTGTCAGAGAGACGCATCTGCAACCCCGAGGGAAGTGATGTCGCCTATAGGGTTTGGACTCTGGTGTTGTGGTCACAGACGTTACCACTTTGTTTCAATCTCTTTGTGCTAATGTGTCATATTCAGTAATTATTATTTATACCTTTCAGTTTTTTCCAAACTATCTGCCTATCAGATAAATAAACAGTGAGAACGAAAGAGTCTTAGGTATTGGTTTTATCATGTACTGCATTTTCAGTGCTAATATTCACCGAAGGTTTAATGGAGGCTGAATACAGACGTCTAAGGTTCTATGATGACTCATTTCTTTTCAATACTAAGAAAAATTCATCCTTGTTTACTGAAGAACTGCATGAAAGCTACTCCAAATAACTTTGAGTATGATAAGTGCTCAAGTATATTTGAAGTTAACTAGGAGAAGGAAGCCACTCACGTTTTTGGGGTAACGGTTCATCTTTATCTGTAAAATAATGAGAAAACACTCGACAGTATTGCAGTATAATATATGCATACATGTTTGAAGTGATTAACATAAGAACAATTAAAAATTACGATCGGTTCAAGAAACAATGAGGTGATTACAAGGTAACAAACAGTCACTAGTATCTTGTTTGCAGACTGGACGAAAATTTAAAATTGCTTATGCACATAGTTACATGACTCTATAGCTTATTGAATAACTCTAGCATTTGAGGCATTGGGTTCTGGGTTCCCTTGTCAATAGAAATACCATTACTCCTTGGAATGCAAGTACGCTGAGCTGATAAATCTATAGTAGGACGAAACGTGGCTTGTGGATTCGATTGTTAGCTTTCAGCAATCAGATTACCCCCTAGGGCAACTTCGGTTGAGGCTGAGGCTGAGGCAGCCAAACAACCGTGCATCCTCCAACAAAGGAAAAGCAATTCGACCTAGAATAATAAAATGAAAATTACAAGTATTCTCAAACAGCAAATAAATGACTGTTTGTCAAAACATTAACTACCTCTTCTATTCACAAAGTTCTCCTTACTAACCTTTCTTATGTAGAAGTATCCTAGTAAATGCAGTTGGTCAAGTCAACTACCCTAGAAATGAAACGCTCAAGAACAAACATCAAAGCTTAGAGAACACCAAACAATTCGTAACCTGACGTTTCCAAGTATTTACATGCTTCCTGAGCACTACAGTAAACCCCAGTAGAAGCAGGAAGACATCTTCACTACACGAATCTGTCTAAAAGAAAACATTCCTTGTCGAATTACTCCTTCATTATTCACCATTAATTATTGAACTGAGGAGTATCTTGTGCTTAGAATACACCCAATGAAAACTGATCAGTATGACTGTTTTGAATTTTAGTTCTGTAAAGAGAAATTCATCAGAAATTTTGGTTTGTTCAATTACCTCGCATCACAGGAAGTGTAGACTGAAGATTATTTGAGGATGAAGCTTGAAGGGAGTACGTGTGTGTGTGTTTGCGTGTGAGTGACTAATCTGATGGAATGTAAGTACAAGTGTACTTGCATCACCGACTGGAATTTCGGTTGTTCGACAATTAGTGTAGAAACTGAGGAATTTCAATCACACATATATCCCCCGTATGACCTTGAGAAGAACAAGTGTAACAGATTGGGCAGGAAAACATGATATCATTTCTCTTCTTCCAGTTCTCGCCAGCTACTTACAGCTTCTGTAATCCAAAGCACTATATTATGGAGCAGTATCTTAGGAGATCTTTGCTATGCTTACGTGTATGGTTGGAAGCTATTATTGCTTATCAATAAAGCTGCTGCCCGGTTTGATTTCATTTTTACTCTATTCTTAACACAAATAATACAAGTTGACAAAACTGCGGGTTGTGATGGTGCTTAGAAACTCAGTATATTATTTTGGCATACGTCCAATTGACTCAGAGTCAGTTTATCATCGGAAACCTAAATTATATTCCAATAATTCGTTAAATGCTGTTGAAATGAGCAAAGAATATTCTTTTCGAGAACTTCTGCTCCACGTCCCACAGTGCTATATTGTGTAATATTGTATAATTTTCGCGTCAACAATATTGAGCTTTCGTCTAATATTTCGCTATTAATACTATACAGTTGGAGTAATTTTCTTCACAGAAGTCTTATGTCAACATTAATACCACAGTAAATTATTTATTTATTATTATTATTTCTCCCTTGGGTTCCCAGCGGAACATAGGGCTTCAGTAGCACGTCGCTATTGCACTCTCTTCTCTGAATTCTTTTCAACCTGGCTCCACGACTGCCCAAAAAATTTGATTTCCTCCTCACACGATCTCCTCCATGTCACCCCTGGACGCTCAAGTCGTCGTTCCCCCTTTCGGTTCCACTCGAGGCCCTGGCCTGGCGCGTGAAGTCCGCAAGTGTTTTTTTTCGGTGTATTTCAATCCAATCCATCTCCACTTTCTTCTGCATATTTGTTAGGCGATGGGTTCTTGGTTGGTTCGTTGCCAGAGTGAGTTCTTTGTTGCTTATTCTTTCTGCATTTTGTTGGAAATGCTTTTCATAATGCGCCAAGTTTCTGAACCATATAGAAGGGCTGACTTGACTGAATTAGTATTGAAAATCCGGATGTTGTTCACGCTTTATGCTGAGTGCAGTAGATCTCCACACTGATTTCAGAGAATAAATTATTATTGGAATTAAATTCAAAATTATATTATAAGACGGTGGTTTGGTAAAACATTTGGAGAGTGTGCATGAAAGTAAGACGAAGTAAACAAAAGTAGATATTTTGAGAAATACTTGCTGAATAAAATGTTACTAATGTTAAGGAAAAATAACGATTATTTCAGACTCCATATCTACAGTACAGAATTTGAAAATAAGGCTACATGCAACTGAAAGCTAAGGGATCTTTGAATCGAGGATGGCACCAAGCTAGTTGTAGCGGTAAAACGTGTTTTTCTAAACAAATAGTTCGTATTGTTTAATACTGATTGCCACAGATTCTGCAGTTTGAAGGATTCAGAGGTGGATGCCTTTTGTCATGTTGATGGGAACCAGTTAAGGAATGAAATATGATTTATTCATATTCACCCTATGGTTTGTTTGAAATGAGTGCGCCAATGTGGAGCTGTTAACGGTCTTTATCACACCTTTGCTCAGCCGCACTGCAAGATGTTCGCAAGCACGGAAAATCACATTTCTAGGGAAGTGCCAAGTATAACTAACTCTGCAGGAGCAGTTGAACTGAAAAATACAAACGGAAGTGACAAGTCAGTCTCGATGTCACCATTGATCATAAGGAAAATGTAGTTCGTAATTTACCAGCATTAAAAGTTCTTCGAATGAGGCAAGGAGACTCATCTTCTAGAAGTGCCAAATAGTTACAGTGAGTCATTCTAGGGAAATACCTGTCGAATTATCAACTCTATAGTGTTATACTCAGATTTAGCTACTGATTAGTAACTTACTTCTTAGCTTACTGAAATAGTAAACAGCTTGAAATCCAGACTTTTCAATACTGAAATCTGAATGATAACGTAGTCGTAACCATCGACCAGTTGATTTAATTGCATGCAACTGACGACTGTCTGAACAAAATCTACCAATCAACGGGGAAAAACCATATTCCCCATCACGAACTTCCAAATAGTCATTGATACAGTCTGCTGACGGTTCAAAGTGAAAAGGTCCACGAAAATCAAGAATAATTTGTTGATCTTCTTGTGGAGCTATCCAATTATTTTAAAACAATAAAATATGGATTAGTACTTTAAAGTTGGGTTAAATAAACATTTCGTGAAATACTATATTAGCAAGCTTAAGTATTTATAACACTTCTGTGGAAAATACCACTGAAATTGCACAGATTTGTGTCATACTATAAACTAAATATGTGTAGATAAGAATTTGTTTCAATTATCCATATTTATTGTCATCAATTCTATGCAGCTGATGTGTTTCAGGAGTATTATATTAAAACGCATTCAACGCTTTACCGATCCACTTTTCAGTTTCGATTTCTAGACTGCCAAATCCCTTCGTTGTGAATCAGTACCCTCTATTGAGTTTTTTAATTATTAAATGTGATTGAATACACCTTGTGTACTCACTGAGTCGTCAGTTCACATTTTTCGCTTCTAGATTCGCACAGTCACCACAGAATGCACCCTGTTGCTCATCTACAAGCTAGACGGAAAGCTATCAACACCCGATCTCTCCAATAGCTGTCAAAAACTGGAAAATATGCGTCTCATATAAGTGCCATTGGTTTTGTATTATTTTATTTATTTGAAAAGTTATCCTACTCATGATTTAGTTGGCAACATTACTGAATACCTCGGTTGGAGAGCTTTCTGTCGACTCCTCATCCATTTCTGTACGACTTATAGTTTAGAACTAACTTCATGTTTAATGAAATCCATTATTGTAGTTCATCATCTCATTTCTTTTTAGAAACGATGGTGCGTTATGGCGAGGCAATTCGGTTGCGTATAAACAGATAAATCAGAATACCTAAAATATACAGACAACAGGCGCGGGTGAACTGAAAATAAGAGTATTCTTGACCGATCACGTGCTTAAGACAACTATAACCAGGCAAAGATTTAATGAAGTTGTAACCGTCTTCTTTATCGTCGTCATCAGGTAACGCTAAGGATAAGAGAAAGCAACTATGACTCTTTATTTTGGTAAACAGTATGCATCTCTAGGATTAGTCCAGTCTCTTCATGATTGGATTTTAAAAACTAGACAGTATAGTGGAGTTATAGTTAACTTCTCATCATTACCTTCCTCGGGTGATCCACGTGAAGAACTTTTTAACTTCAGCAGCCATAAAGTAAATTGGAGCAAAACATTTCGAAAAATCTGATCACATACGTATTTGTCACAGACATTTCAATGGAAATTAAAAATGAGATAAGGGGTGAGAATATGGAAGGATGTCACATAGGAAGGTTAGATTAAAGGCCAAATAATGACAAAAATCAATACAGGGCAAAACAGTAGTACATCGAACTTGGTTTCAGAGTTGAATTCACCAAGTTAAGTTTAATGTGATTATAAATTACTTTTGAACACGTAAAGGTAGCTTAAGCTCCCTAATAGCTAAAGCTTCGACAAATTTAAGAATCTATCCCCAACACTTTTTGTAAGTAGGTCTAAAAGATATAGTGACGTCAGTTTTGTGAACTTTCTCAATGACAGGCTTCGTGATCAACAGTCTTGAACGTTTGTTACCAACATTTATGGATTCAAGTAACTCAATTTACTTCTGAAGTTTTTTTGAAATGTGCACCAAGGCAGTTACTTGCATGAACCTATGAGTTCTCCCTATATATGCGTCACCATACGTACATTTGAAGAGGTAGATACAGTGAGATGTGACATTTTTGTTCACATGCTGTAAGGGTTAGGGCAAATATACAAGCTTTATGGTTTCTATTCAATCGGATCCTAGCTGCAGCGTTAAAAATTCTGCCTAAGGATTTCTCTTTAAAGTTACCTTCGTACGAAAGACTGATGAAAATGTCTTTCTTCGGGACAAAGTAAAGAGCAGGTTTCAGTGCTCTGGATACTTTGCGCTGGCTTATAAATTTTGATGGATAATTCCAGTCAACTTTCTTGCCTCGTCTTTCGAAGTATCATCTATGCATGTTCGTTGAATTCTATTCAATCAACACCTGAGTAGTGCTCATTTGCATTATAAATTGAGCAAAAGTTGTGATAATTCAGCTGTTGCCATGTTCATCCGGGTTTCCATTAGACAGATCGTTGTATGAATCCATCCTGCTGTCGACTAGTTAGTATGTTTAAAAAAGATAAGCCATCACTGTCGTCTTCTACACATGTCAAGGACATGCTGCTCTGTCATTCGGTCAGTTTAGAAATGAAGTGGACTGACTTGAATTACCCCACATAATTAGGATATCACAGATATATCTTCCGCCGCTGGGGATTGGAGTAGCACTCAAACCATTGACAACGGAAGATAAGTTAAATAAAATCTACAAATCAGTTGGGAAAACTGTTCACAATATTATGTTGGACAGTCTAGCCGTCCTATTGCTCACATAATTCATGAATACCAACTAATAGTAAAGTGACACGAAGCAGCCAACTTGCTTTCAATCCACGCAGGTAATCAAAATAACACACTTGACTGGAAAAATGTAGAGATCCTCAAAAGAGCAGGTTCAAAGGTTGGTAGAGAATTTTTAGAGGCATGGCATTCCAACTAAAAGTTAATTTAGAAGTAGTATTCATCATGGACTGACATCAACTGGGGAACCATTGGAAATCTGAGAGCACTGGACACCTGTTTCGTCCTAGTATGGGACTCCTCAGCAGTACGCACCCACGACCCGGCTGGGGTCGAACTCAGGACCTTCAGGTCCCACGACGAACGCGCCAACCATTCAGCCACTGGGTCGGTTTCCAGTGGTTCACACTTTCCAACATCTGTCAATTCACGACATAGCGCAACTGTCACCCAAGGTCTTCACTTAGCATCCACTTCACTTCCGACTGGTTGACCCACAGGTCACGGCTATTCATTAGAACTTCCTAACATCCATCTGGAAGCGTACTGCTGAGGAGTCCCATACTATGACGAAACAGCTGTCCAGTGCTCCCAGATTTTCAGTGGTTTCCCAACTGATGTCAGTCCATGATGAATAATACTTCTAAATTAAAAATCCCCATTCATCTCAAAAATACATTAAAAGTTAATTAACAGGCATCTATAATTTACTGGGGAAGAAATACAAACTTCCATCAGCCAAGAACAAAATGATCAAACAAACTAATAATGGAGCACGTTTTTACAGTAACAAGTAGCACAATTTCACTCCAATAAAGATACTGTACCAGTGTGACCGAAGGAAACTTAAGGTCAAACAGGTCAAGGTGTGATGAAATCTCTTTCCTAACTTACAAATGGACAACATCCGACGTTGGCATACAACATTATCTTAACATTCGTGTAAAAATCGAGCATAGTTCACTTCTTTATTAAGTTAGTGCGGGGGATGTCATCAGACATGACGGTAAAACACCCATGATAAAATAACAAGCCTCAAAGAACACCAAAGCATCATCATATTACTACAGTGATATGTCACAATTACAGAGTAAATTCACTACCAGCTTATAGTACACTGTTTAGGAGACAATGTGGTTGACTATATGTTTGCACCTACTTCATCTGTATTTGCCAAGTCACTTGCTCTTGTGAACTTGTTAAATAGGCCGAAAAGACTACGATCTGTTAAAACATATCTCCAAACACTGACGTACATAGTGGAGAATATATGTAGCTCAGGTCGATGGTCTTGTTTGTATTGTGTTCTCTGAGCTGGGCTTTTTAATCGTGAAGCTTTCATTCTTTCTAAATGACATCATCAGCACTAACTTCAATATGAAGTGAGCTGTCAATATCTCTCGATGAGTGACTTAGTAGCTTGCCTTGACGAAGCGGTCTGTGATTGGTTGTTTCCCTTTGTTGTTGTGTCATTGATTGTATAGATTTTCCGGTTGGCTATCCCTCTGCTTCAACCTCGCCTGGTTAACTAGTTTACTAGTTACTAGCCGGTCCTAAGCCCGGGTAAAGAGGGAAGGTTGGGCATAGGGCTAGCAACCCTACCCCGTAAAACAAATCCAACCGCTAAAGAAACTTCAAAGCACAAACAAAATATAAAAATGAAAACAAAATTATTCCTCGCTGGAATCGGAGAGGCGAAATGACGCCAGTTGGTGAAAGCCTTCGGGAAGCCAATTGGCCGATTGTCTTCTCTCGATGAAAGCGAAAGTGAAAGTGGGGACATGGAATGTCCGCACCATGTTTGAACCCAGTAAGGCAGCCCAGATTGCAAAAGAGATGAGAAGGTATCAGAGTGAAGTGCTTGGGATTTGCGAAAGCAGATGGAATGGAGTGGACTCTCCAAACTGTCAACTGGAGAATCAATAATCTACTCCGGTCACCCAGACGCCAACCACGAGCACACTGAGGGAGTGGCTATCATGATGTCCTCAAGAGCATGGAAGGCTGTCTCTCATGCAGTGGGAACCAATCTCCTCAACGATCAGGATCATGACAGCAAGGTTCAACTCAAAAGGGAGGAATATCACAATCATACAATGTTATGCACCTACAAATAATGCAGAGCAAGAGAAAAAGGAGGATTTCTACAGACAACTGCAATCAACACTGGACAAGACCCCACCTCAGATGGCGACATCAAAATTCTAATGGGTGGGGTGACATGAATGCCAAACTGGGAGCAGACAACACAGGAAGAGAACTAACCATGGGCCGAGAAGCGCTAGGTGGAATGAACGAGAATAGAGAATTGTTTGTAGAATTCTGTGCATTCAACGATTTGGTGATTGCAGTGAGGCAGTGTGTTCAAGCACAAGGATATCCACAAAGCGATATAGATTTGATTTCACCAGATGGACACAGTGCACTAAAAATCAGATCGACTTTATCTCAATCTCAAGAAAGTGGAGACGCAGTCTACTTGACACAAGGTCAAGAAGAGGAGCAGATGTAGAATCACACCACTCACTATCTAGTGCAAGGAACCTAACTTCCAAATCAAGTTGAGAGTCTTCAAGGAAGCTGGTGACAGACCACAGTTCAAGTACAACACTCGGAAACTGAAGGATGAAACTACGAAGAAAGTCTTCACGTCAGCCATCAAGACAAAATGGGAGATATCGAGGAACA